TGATACTTGAATTTTATGCCAAAGGGGTGATTCTAGGGGTCCCACAGACTATATCTGGCCATCTGCTGCCTGTAGAGTTCAATCAGAGAGAGATGAATGGTGGTTAAAGAATTTATTAATGGGCTGGGGATGTGACACAAGCAGTAGTATGCTCACCTGCGTGCACGGGGCACTGGGTTCGATCCTCAGCACCACATAAAAATAAAGATGTTGTGTCCACCGAAAAACTAAAATTCTCTCTCTCTCTCTTAAAAAAGAATTTATTATTCAGGACTGAGGCTGTAGCTCAGCATGCAGAGTGCTTGCCTAGCATGCGTGAGGCACTGGGCTCAATCCTCAGCACCACATAAAAATAGACAAAGGCATTCTGTCCATCTACAACTACCAAAAATTTTTTTTAAAAAAAGAATTTATTATTCAGTGTGGCCATACTGGGAAGAAACAGGGTGACCAATATTCTAAGCCGTCTTCTGGGTAGTCTCAAGAGCTTCAGGAAGTCAGGGAAGAAACAAAAGCATGGGTCAAGAAGCACGTGCAGATGGGCAGTCTTGGCCAAACTGATCTGGTGGATCATTATCTCGAAGGTGGTTCTGCTGGCGCCAGGGAAACGGGTGTTGTGTGAGGGGGCAGTTCATGTCCCATCATGAGATGACCGCCCCCCCCCCTTGGTGCACGGCATCAATTCCCATCATGGGGTAACTGTTCCCACTTAGAGGGCTGTTTCTATCATAGGGTGATCTTACTGCAAGAATTGCTGTTCCTGCAATTTGAAAATATCTTAGTTACTCTTATTTTGGTGTCTTCAGCCTTGCAGAGGTGAAGTAAATTTAGGGCTCTCTACATAGTATTACCAGTTTTTAGACACTCCTTAAATGATTACTATGTCTATGTGCAGTGCTGAGCAGGAATCTGACCCAAAGTTTAAGGTAGCAAAGGAAGCTCAAGCCAGGAGTCAACGCTTTCAGGAAAAGCAGACTTTTTCCCTGTTGCATTTCTGACACCAATTCTGAAGAACACCACACTCCGTTTCCTGCTCTCTCAAACAATACATAACTTCTGTGACCAGATATGAGGTTTTTTTCCCCACACTCTAAGCAATTCAGCAGGCACCCACTGGGCACCCTATTACTCAATTCAATTCTGACATTATTTTACCAAAGTGTCAGATCCTACAGATTAAGGGCTCAGTTCCACAAGACTGTCTGCCACCTCAGATGCCAGTAAAGTCCTAGTGCTTCTAACAGACTTATCTATAAATGAAAGTTCTCAACACCCCCACCCCTTGGCAATTTGCCAGGATAACTCACAGAACTCAAAGAAACACTTTTTGCATTTACTAGTTGTCAGTTGTCACAGATGAACAGCCAAATGAGGTTCACAGAGCAAGGTATGGGGGAAGGACCCGGGGGCCTCTTGCCATCTCCAGGGACCTATTACTTTGGATCTGAAAGGTCCCCTGAAGACTCACATGTTGAAAGCGTGATCCTAGCTGGTGGTACTACTGGGAAGTGGTGGAAACTTGGAGAGGTGGGACCTATCTGGTGGGAGTAGGTCACTGTGGGTATGTCCTTGAAGGGTGTGTCCTGAGCTGCCTACCACAAGGTAAGCAGCTTTTTCTACCATATACTCCCCACTATGATAGTCTCCCTCCCCAGGCACCCAGAAACAATGTGCTAAGTGAGCAGATTGAAAATTCGAACCGTTAGTCAAAATATTTTCTTGCCAGGTGCAGTGTCCCATGCCAGTAATCCCAGTGATTTGGGAGGCTGAGATAGGATGATCTCAGATTAGAGGCCAGCCTTGGCAACTTGACAAGAACTTGTCTCAAAATAAAAAGGGTTGGGGGTATGGTTCAGTGATAAACTGCCCCTGGGTTCAATCCTCAGTACTAGGATTTTCTTTAAGTTGATTTTCTCAGGTATTTTGTCACAGCAACAGAAACACAGCACCCTCTACATGCTCAGCAACCTGAAAGCTTTCAAATCTCTATTGAGTTTTTATAGAGCTTGATCTGCCTTCCAGAGGGTGGTTGGGGCTAGAAGTTCCAAATGTCTATAATCACTTGGTTTTCCTGGTGAGTGCTTCCATCTGGAGACTATCTAGGGTCCTAAATCACCTTATTAGCATGTACTTAGGCATACAAAGAGGCTCATGATGAAGAACAAGACCCTCCTATCACAGCAGAAATCCCAAAAGTTTTAGGTGCCCTGAGAGGAATCAGAGACGAAGACCAAATGTATACCATATACCACATACATTTAGATATGCTACTTCTGTTTAGCTTTCAGAATCTGCCAAACTGCTTCCCATAGCTGCTGCATCACTTCATGTTCCCACCACACTATAGGAGGGCTCCTATTTCTCCATGTCACCACCAAATTATTTTTTTTCTCATTAAAATCACCCGGGCTGGGGATGTGGCTCAAGCGGTAGCGCGCTCACCTGGCATGCGTGCGACCCGGGTTCAATCCTCAACACCACATACAATGATGCTGTGTCTGCCGATAACTAAAAAAATATTAAAATTCTCTCGCTTTAAAAAAAAAAATCACCCTAGTGGGTGTCAAGTGGCATTTCACAGCAATTTTGATTTTACACTTCTTTTAACAACCAACGGCGTTGAACAATCTTTCCCATTTGATTTTTTGGTACTGGGAATTGAACCCAGGGAGGCTTTCCAACTGAGCTGCTTGAACAATTTGTTTGAGGCTGGCCTCAAACTTGCAACCTTACTGTTTCAGCTTCCCAAGTCAATGGGATTACAGGTGTGTACTACCTTGCTTGGTTATAACTCTTTGAAGAATGTCTGTTCAATTCCTTTGCTAGTTTTCTAATGGCTTTACCTGTTTAATTTTACATTTAAACAGTCTGATATTAAACCCTTATTAGACTTGTAAAGTCTCCCCCTCAAGGGTCTTTTGACATTCATCACCTTTGCCACAAGTTAACTCAGATGAAGTCCCATTGACCTATTCTACTGATGCTTTGGGTGTTGAATCTAAGAAACCACTGCCAAATCCAAGGAAATTATTTACCCAATTTTTTTTCTAATAGTTGTAGAGGGTTAGCTCTTGTATTTAATAAGTATTGATCCATTTTAACAAGTGATAGTATGTCCAACTTCATTCTCTTGCTTATGGTTACTATTGTTCCAAAACCACTTGCTGCAGACTCCTCTCCCCTAATATAGTCCCATCTACTCAAGAGGTTAAAGAAGGAGGATCCCTTGTGCTCAAGAGTTTTGAGATCAGCCTAAGTAAAACAGTGGGAGCCTTTAAAAAACAAAAAGTCCCCAGTGGATTTGGGAACTCTTGTCAAATATCAATTGGCCAAGCCAGATGTGGAGACACATGCTACTCAATTCAGGAGGCTGAGGCAGGAGGACCACAAATACCAAGCCAGCCTAAATAACTTGGTTTAAATAACTCAGAAAGACCTGGTCTCAAATTTAAAAAGGGCTGCAAATGTATTCAGCAGCCCAACATACACAAAGCCCTGAGTTCAATTCCGGTACTATTTAAAAGAAAAAAAAAAATCAATGGGACATATATGCCAAGACTTATTTCTGGATTCTCAATTCTGCGAATCTGTTCATGTCTAAATGCCAGTGGTTTTTATTACTATAGTTCTATGGTAAATTTTGAGATCTGGAACTTGATTTATTTATTTCAAAGCCATTTAAGCTATTCAGGGCCCTTCATATGAAAAGTGGCACCTCCATTTCTGCCTAAAGACACTGTTAATTTTGTAGGGAATATACTGTATTGACTTGGGAGTAACACTATCTTAACATCTTCTAATCCATTAATGTGTTACCTTTTTAGGTTTGTTGTCCACTCTCTGCCCTCATCCCAATGAATTTTCATGACTTACCTCCTTGGTTTAATTCCTGTGCATTTTATTTTTTTGGTTGCTATCCAAAGTGGAATTCTTAATTTCCTTTTTCAGACTGTTTGATACTGGTGCATACAAAGTTTTTAGACTATAAATCTGAATTCATTGATTACCTTTAAATTTCTTGTGAATTTTTTATGTATGAGCATATCATTTGCAAAAAGATTTTTCCTTCTTGGACATTTCCTTGTCTAATTGCTCCACCTACAATTTCCAGTACAAACACTGAATAGCATGGTGAACGAGGAGGCCCTTTTAGCTTAACCTTAAGGGAGAAACTTAGACTAGATATGAAGTGGTAGAGATTGCTTGACATGCACAAGAACTATGTTCAATCCATAGTACCTAAAAAAATAAAATAAAAATTAAGGGAAAAGTTGTCTTGCCCTCTCCCCAGTACAAGTCCTTGAACCCATTGAGCTACATCCCCATCCCTTTTTTGAGATTGGGGTCTTGCTACATTGCCCAGGTTGGCCTCCATCTTGCAATCCTCCTGCCCTATCAGCCCACTGAGTGGATTACAGGGGTACAACAAAATACCTAGGGCAAAAGCTCATCTTTCACTGTTTTGATGATAGCTGTGGTTTTTCATAAACCCTTTTGTTGTGTTTAGAAAATGCCCTATTCCTAATTTGCTGATTATTTTAACTTTTTATCATGAAAGGGTGTTGAAATCTTGTCAAAGGCTATTTCTGCATTGAGATGATCTTGTGGCTTTCTACTGATGTGGTATATTCAACCCATTGATTTTATACTGACCAATTTTACATTCCTAGAGAAGCTCATTAACACCCCAGTGGCACACCACTAGCTTTTTTTCTTTTTTTAACATCTCCTTTGTGTTTAGAACTCTTCTGAACTTAGAACTAAGTGTCCACCTCTTACTTCTGTACCCTTGAAGCTTGCTTTACTAACTATGGAAGGAAGAAGTCATGGAGATCCTACAATTCAAAAACTGTATTTAATTACACATATGTGTGGGAGATAAAGTCATGACCGTTGCTCCTCTCCAAATATGGTTTTCAGTTTTAGTTGCTTCATAAAGTACCAACAAACTATCTAATGAGGGTCTCCCCAAGTGAACATATACCAATTCACTCCTTACCAACAGCATATGAATGTTTATTTCAACAAGCTGAAGTTTTTTGGGTTTTGATGAGAGAAAATGTTTCATATGGTCCAATTTTGCAAATCTCTTATTATCGGACTATTATATATCAGATGCAATGGTGTAGTAAAGTATTTTACAGGGAAGCAACTAAGATTAGGGCTAATTTTTCCAAGGCAACCCTTTTGACTCTAATTATAAAGCACCCAATATATCAAAGGATGCTTAGAAATGGATACATCAGGTGCATTTACAATATTCTCTTGAGAGTTTATTATAAACCAATCTCATAGGCCACAAGGAAAATAAAAGGACTATGTACAGCCTTACAGGAAACAGGCAAGGAGCTGAGGAGGACCAAGATGAGTCTAGGGCCTTGGTGGGCGCATTCCCGGGGGAGGGGGCCCTGTAAGGGAAACCAGACAATCCGGTGAGACTCCGCGAGCAACAGCATAACAAACAAACAGGTCTGTGGTAACGTGGCCCTGGGGAATCGGGCCCACGCCTCTGTGGAGCTACTTCCATAACTCTGTGGCCAAGGGTCAAAGAAGGCCTGAAGTAAGAGTAAGAAGTTTAGTCAGTGCCTGATCTGCAACTCAGATCCCCGACCCTGCCCAGCCTCCCACATCCTGCAGTTACCAAGCAATGAGAGGGACATACATGGTGTTAACTGGGGACTTCTCTGGGGTTGACTGGGTTCCTATGTCTGGAAAACCCAAACTAGAAATAGGGATATGGCTGTGGGTGTCTTAGTAGCCATATGGCTTGGTGGAAAGAGCACAGGTCTGGGAAGCAGGATGCTAATTAAGCTTTCTCTGAGCCTACTTCCCTGTTCATGTAGCAACTATCTCAGTATTTCTCAAACTGAAGTTAAACAGAAATACTTAATAAATAATATCACAAAGCCCAGAGTTCTTCATTACTAGATACTATCAAATCAGAGGGCATATAACAACTTTATTGCCTTTATCAGGGATCCTCAGAATGCATTATTTATCAGTACCCTGAAGACACTGCCTTAGACTCTGAGAAGTACTCTGGGTACTCTAACTGTTCTGAAAGGGGAGGCAAGGCCAGCTCTTTCTTCTCTGTCCTTTCTGGACAATGCTGCTCCCCAACAGTTCATTTCCTTAAACTTAAAGCCAGAAAGCCCAAAGGACATGGTCTAAATACAATTTTCCCTTCACTTCCCACTGCCCTATTCTCTAGGGAAAGAAGCCAAAATCACCTCAGCAGGCACTTACCTCGCATCCCTGGGGGAGGGGGCMGCATTCCTGGAGGGGGCATGCCCATCGGGGTCCCTCGTCCAGGGGGAATCCCCATTGGGGGACCCATAGGAGGCCTCATACCAGGAGGTGGGCCCATCATGCCT